CTGGCCAAATTTTCTCTGGGAGTGCACACAAGAAGGAAATTAACCAACAGGATTAGACTGATTTGGCAGATTAAGAAGAAGATTACCACTCTATCACACTTTCTCCACTCTTAAAGAATTTTTTTTTTTCTATTTAAAAGGCATTTTCTCCACTAAAAGGTCTTCCTGTTGGGTACTTCGCATATTCTTACTACCAGTAAAACACTCCAGATGAAGACTTGGATTGCCTTTTTGCTATCACAAGAGTCCCAAAGAAGGTCCATAAAATGTTTTCTCCATTTATGGCAGATCTAATTTTCTCCACTGGGCGGGCATAGGAGGGTAATTGAGTCATTTTTTTTTTCTGCTAGAAGACCCCATGAGGAGGCAGTTTTCAAATAAATCACACTTTAATGTCAGATCACTGCATTTATCATTTTAGGAGTTCCCTGGAGGACGCCTTATCAGGCTCCATCCATGGCAAAGCACCCTTAAAGACACAAAATCTCAAAATTTCTCCAACAGAGTGGCATCCTGTGGGGTACATTCATGATTTTACCATTGGTAAGAGATTCTCAAAGACATCTTTTTCATGTATTCCCTGTTAGAGGAGCATATCACTGCTCTCTAGCTGTGTTGAGGGTCCCTCTTGAGTAGTTTGGTCTGTTTTCTCCTCTAGAATGGCATTGAATTAAAATTCCTTTACCAGTAGTGCGACTAGAATAGTGTTTCAGCGCATTTTCTCTGCATACAGGAAGGTTATTAATTTTTTTTTATCGTACACTGTGAAGGCAGATCACTGTGCCTTCAGCCGTTTCACCAGTACCCTTGAGAACATTGGATTAAACTACATCCATGGAAAGACACCCTGAATGACACATTACCACATTTCTCCACTAGAGGGGCATCCTGTTTGATACTTAGCTTAGTTTCACTATTGGTAAAACACCCCCAGAAGACACCTTTACTTTTTATTCTTCACTTGAAGAGGTTATTGCCTTTTTGCTGTCCTAAGGACCCCCACAGAAAACATCCCATCATGTTTTCTTCACATTTCTTCTGCTAAGAAGGTACTGGGAACTGAAAAGTGTTTTTACCATGAAGGACAGCCTTAAGGGCACTTAATGATATAAATTTTGCTCCAGTGGGACATTACTTGATTTTTTTTTTTTTTTAAGTTTAGTGGATACCTTGACTAAAACTCAACCACATTTTCTGCTCTCACACTGACTTTCCTACAGGTGTTTAAGGTAATTTTTTATGAGCAATCTCTAATGTTGAAAATATCACCAAAGAAATAAAAAAAAAGAAGAAAAGTCAAATGGACATGTGCCAGCTCACCTTTGGTGCACTGCAGGGTGTCTGTGAGCAAAGCACCAAACCCTTCACTGTGTGGGGGCACTTGACTTTGCGGTAACCTTCTGATTGTGATCTCTCTGCTGATGGTCCAGTGGTCTTGCTTGTGCCTGTGTCTGTAAAATAAAACCGAAATGGCCTTGAGGAATAGACAGGATATTTTTTGTATTTCTTTATGTCCTCCTCCTGCTTCTTGTTGTTCATCTATTTGTTCTCTCCATAACAGAAGCATCGATAAAGGAGTGCCATTTTAGTTGCAAGACATCCATCTCCATCATCTTCAATATGAGAAACTTCCATAATTTTTAACAGCTAACTTTCACTTCGTCCACAGTTAATGACATAAAATTTTGCAAAGGACAGTTGGATAAAAAGTGAGGATTATAAGATTATATGATAACTATTTCTTATCAGAAGTTCTGGGGCACTTTGACTCAACAGTGGGGGTTTATAATCTTAGGTTGTCTGTCCTGTGCAACAGATAAGGATAAATATCCCCACGGAGTCCAGACCCTGGTGGTAGAGGAGGTGGTTGATGAAATCTGCTGAGGCTGATGAAATGACACTAAAGAAGCTGCTGCTGTGACTGGAAGAGAAAGATCAATGATAGGAGTGAATGCAGAATGGTATGACAAATAAAAAGTACAAGCCTGAGCATGCAAAAGTGCAGTCCTCAAGCCTTATCTGTGCTAGAGCTTCCCAAGGGAAACTGAACCTTGAAGTAGACGAAAACATGACTGAAGTGGTGCATTTTAACATTAGCAGCATTGCTTATGAATGCACAAAGGCCTTTCGTATATACATTTTTAGTTGTTGGTCAAATTGTCATGAACAGAGTCTCTACTCTCATGCACCAAACAGGGGAAGAGGAGAGGTGTGTAACATTGCCTGGCAGATACAGAGGAGCAGGTGTGTGTCAGGGCAGCCAAAGGCCTCATGAGTATGTGAAGAAAGAAGCTGGAGCAATAGTGAAAATCAATGAGTGAAGGGTGTCCAAGCTGTGAGACAGTAAGATCTGTATGGTGTAATGTAAATATTATTATAATTAGGCTGAGACTGCCTCCTGTAAAGGTATACAAAAAAAGATTTTAAATAGGTTAAATGCGTTTCTAAACTATGGTACAGGTTCACTTATGTCAGGTGTGAACAGTTGTCGGAGTTAATGCATTTATGGCAGTGTAATTAGCATCAGAAATTAACATGTCATTTCAAATTTGGTGAAAGCTATCAATAGACTTCAAAATCTGCTCAAGAAACCAATGAGGGATGTCAACATAATGGGCTCTATTTTCATGCCCGCCCGAGTGGCGCAGCCCGCGCAGTGGTATTTTTGTCCGGCGGGGCCCGGTGCACAGCCAGTTTGGTATTTTCGTAGACTGAGGCGCGCCGAGGCCCACCAAGCTGGGCGTGATAGCGCATTAGCGCATTAGGGGGAGGTGTCGACAGAATAGACCAGCGGCGTATCGGCATACGTCACAGATGCTTCACCATCAGGTTTCCACAGTGTCAGGCACTTTTCAGTGCAATAAATAACCAATAACAATCAATATTCAGTGCTAGTATCTGAGTCAGCACATACTCTCTTCCACTTCCTCTTCTTTCTCACGCAGATCTACCCGGACATGTCTCCGTGTCCTCTCTCCCCATCCTGCTGCTGGTTGTTGAGGGGCTGCCTTCTGTCACCATCTTGTGGCATTGCTGTCTTCAGCTTTTTCTCGATCTCTTTGACTATTTCACGAAAATTTTAATACGCCGCGCCGGTGGCGGATTTAAAGCTGAGGAGAGCTGATGTGGTTGGTGAAAACAGGACTTGGCTGTGTTAAACCCACTCTGCGCCTTATCCCCTCCCTCTCTGCTACTTACGCCGCTGGGAGGAGCTCAGGTAGGGAGGGGGGATACTTACGCCGGGCTGCGCCACCCACCAAAATACCAAATTGTGCTTGGGAACGCCTCATTGGCGCGGTGGCCTGACGTGCGCCGCACGAAAATAGAGCCCAATGTGTCCACAGAACTGTGGATGACACTAGATCAAAGAAGTTAACTCCAGTGCTTGCTGAGCAGGAGGAAACTGACTCATGTGTAAGGAACATCCTCGGGGTAATGTGTTCTGACAAGCCATCTGCCGTGTTGTTGGTAATCACAGTTGATCAGTTTTTAAGCGTACAGAACCTACATAAAACAGAGAGAACAACCAAACAGTGCAAATACTGAAATACTGAGACTATACTAAAAATAGGCAAATACTGTCACAATAATCAGGGATCAATAGATATCAGTGAGTAATCAAAATGACCAAGGAGTAACTGCTTCTCATGTTGACGTCATTAGGACATTTACTTTGTTTACTCCTGCATCCAAGCCATGGTTTCAGACCACACTAATGAAGCAGTGAAGCTTTTTATCATTGAGATCAAGATCATTGAGTACATTACATTGCAGGCATTTGTTTCTTAAACTGTGATACTGCTAAGACTTACTCTACACTTTTTAATATGGACTTAAAATCTGTTTTGGAACACAATCTAATGGAGATTCAAAGATTTGACTAAAAATTTATATTACTCATGATTAACCAGTACATTTCTGATGTTAATAAATTTAGAAAAAAAGATCTTTGACAACCCTACAGATACAATATTGAAAGCACTCTTACTGTTCTGTAAGAGGGCCTTGCTTCTAGAAAAAGCCTTTTATTCATTGGCTTTTAACCCTGCATGAGACTCGGCTCCTGTTTTAGTGTTTTATGGTTTGTTTTTAGTTATTTGTTTCTATGTTTTTAAATTAGTCTTTAAAAACATTGAAACTATGTTTTACTTTTATTTCTGCTTTTATTTTATCCATTGTTTTTTATCTTGTTGTTTTGTCTAGTTATGTACAGCACTTTGTTCAGCTGTGGTTGTTTTAAAGTGCTTAACAAATAAAGTTGAGTTGAGTTGAGTTGAGAAACACCATTGAAGAAGAAGCATAGGCTCTGGTCATATTTTTATCATTTTACAACCAAAGTATTTAAAGTTTTGGAAGTGCAGTGAAATGTTTCCTCTGAGGGTTTCTCTCCCATATCAATGTCATAGCTGCATTAATATGTAGGTTCCATTTTTTTACTCTAGCTATTTAATGTTGCACACATGTTGCAGAGTTTAAAGTTACAGCCAATCCTACAATGTTTTATAACATAAAAAATATCTGCTGATTTCTCATCAACTTCACATCAACAAGTGATTTCATGAGTATTGTAAACTTTCGCAGTCATAAACAATCACTTTTCACCTTGTTTGACAGAGTCATGAGACGCTTCAGGACTCCTTTTTCCACTCTGTCAGCTGGCCTGCAGCTGCTGCAAACAGCTGTGGTCAAACTCTCTCACAGGCATCATTTTAATTGTTATCATGCAAAGACTGTGTCTCCCTGAGGAGAGAGCGGTTTGCTGTGATAACAATTCGCCCGCATCTCCCTGAAACAAAGTCATTTCAGTGTCCTCAAGTGCCGACTGACTTTTTTCTGCAGAATAACAACTGGTTTTACTTCAAAATGTTGGTTGTAAACCACAACTTTAATTAAGAGAGTTTAAAAAATGGCGGTTTGAATGTTTTGTTTTGTTTTTCTCACACAGGAATTCAAATTACATTTTTTTTGCAGGCAATGTTAGCAAAAAAGAGATGAAAGCATAGACTTGTATCAAAATCAGGTTTATTTAATGTATCCAAATACTTTTAAAAAACATAGAGAAATAGACTTTAACAATAAATAAGGCATCTTAAATAGTAGTCAAGTCAAGCAACATAAAAATAAAGGTGTGTGCATTTTTACAGTGGCTTCCTTACAGACTTGCTGTTATAATACTGTACATGTGTGTCAGTTGTCTTTCCCTTAACTTGAATTTGACTCCTTTTCCCCTCAGCCCTGCCTGAAAAATGTAAATTCCCCCTATGGCTGTCAATTCCCAACCCTCGCAGTGCAGGAGTTCAGTGAAAGCTCTGCTTTCAGCGTTCTCAGACTTGTGGGCTCAGTCTTCATGTCACCTCCGGGACCTCAGTCCGGATGACTTTCCTCCCCAGTCAGGCCTCCCCTTGTACTTTCACTCTGCCCTCTTCATTCTGTCGATGCACTCCCTCTTACGGGTCTCGTTTTTGTTTATCCTGAAAGAAGGGAGGAAGAAAAACTGGGATTAGGCCAGAGGACTAATAGGAAACATCTGGAGGTTTTGTGCAACCAGTCACATGTTAATGTGATTAGAAATGTTGAGCCAACATCTTGTAACAGAACCTTTTTTATAAGCAGGAAGAGTTCAGTTTCATTGACGGTGTGTTTGTTGCCAAGTAAACTAGTTAAGAGTTTTGGCTTCACAGTGATTCTGCATCTTAAGGCAAAATTAAACAAATTCCATTGTATCTTGCGAAATCAGTGCAAAATCCAAATGTTGCAGGAGGTTCCAGTAAGAAAAAAATTGGCTCATGAAAACAGCAATTGATGAAAAACACAGCTTTCTTTTTGTGAAATTTCAAGTCAGAGTTGTTGTTCACATCAGCAGAGGGTGAAAACTATACAAGTGGTGCGTCAGTGAGTAATTTAAACATCATAGATTACCTATCCCAGCATATCAGGAAGGCTTTGGCTTGCTTTTTCCCTGTGTTCATGCAGATTTTCTCTGTGCTGTTGTCTGCCTTGCTCATGGTGAAACTGAAAAATAAAAAGAATAAGATTTCAGAATCAGACTGCACACAACTGTTGAGATTTTAAAGCTCAGAAAAGCTGCACATTTGTAGTCAAACTCACATCAGCTCAGTTTTATCACATCCTGGTCTTTTTTCATAGACTTGGAAATCTGAAATGTTGCCTCTGATGAACGGGATGGTTTCAGGACAGTAGCAGCGAGCAGGAATGTCATGAGCTGCAGGGAAAACATGAAGATAGTTATTCTGTGCGGCCTCATCAATTAGCACGAGTCGTGCAAACCTTTAAGCCCAAAATATCAAAAATTCAGAAAATGACAGTTAAAGTGGGTCATGCATCACTATTTTTTTTTTACCTTCTCGGAGTTTGTTTATGCTAAAATCCTGAAAGAATGCACTTTTGTGATAAAAAAAAACATAAATATTATTTTAACTCACCCTGGTAGAGTTGAATGTAAACTGCAGCCACCACAACAAGCAGGAAGGCACAGCTTTTCTGGGTCAAGAAGGCCATTTTTTTCCCTGTATGAAGACAAAAGTCCAGAGATCCCTTGAAGGAGAAAGTGCAAACTGGAGCAGGCTGAGGAGAGTGAGTGAAGAGTGCTGTGAGCTTGTTCTCCTTTTATAGAGAGCAGAAAGTGGGTTTTCCCAGAGCCCATGCTTTTTCCCGTCAAGCCATGCCTTCACCGTGCTCTGGAATTTCCACATTCACTCCGGAGGTGCACACTGGAATGTGCTCTCTCTCTCCCTCCACAGAAAGGGAAGAGAAAGGGAAAATGATGCACCAATTAAGAGAAAAGTGATTCAGCAACATACCATGATGATTAACACTTCATGTGACACTATGCCCAGACATGTCCTCGCCTCAAATAAACTACCATGACTGTCAGAATTGAGTGCAGTTGCGCCATCTGAACTTTGGCCATCGTTCTACTGACCAAAAGTCGAGCTGAAAGTGCCAATGAGCAAGAAAAGGTTGTGGGTTTTCTTGGAAGCAGAGCTTAATTTTGCAACAGAGTATTTCATTTAACAATCCTGATTAAAAGCTTAAAGCTGTACTTTAGAAAATGAACTTTCAGGGGGCTGCCTTTTCATATAATTCAAGCAAAAAAAATACACAGCACATAGCAAACGAGTAAGATGAAGTCAATGCAGGACATTTGAAATAAAAGTAAAATCCTCATGTTAAAAGAAAATCCAACCAACAAATTAATAGTTACATAAACATCAACTTATTTCTAAACCTGGCTGTGCTAATTGTTGCCAGGATGTGATAAGTTCTTGATTCTGATTGGACAAAACCCTAACCTAATTACACCGCATTATCGCATCAAATCAACCTGCAGAAATAAGGCCAGAACATTTCACCTCTGCCTGTTGACACTGTGGCAAAAACATCAGCTTCAGTCTAAGACTACGTTTTCACGTGCCCAGCCATTTTCATAAACAGACATTTCACCCTCTCCGTTAACGAAAATAAAACGTGCACACCACTACATTTTCAGAAAAGTTTTCGTTTACACTAACCCATGTATATATGCCGTCAAGAGCATGCCAAACCTGTAGGTGGTAGTGTAGTGAGAAGCTCAAGCCCACGTTTGCCAATCAGAATCTCGCATAGGAGCAACAACAACAACAACCTCGCACTTAGCCCAGTTTCCAGCATTCAATCTACCCAAATCTCAGTTTTTCTCTGTTAACATGCAAACAGAGTTTTCCAAAATCTCCACTCTGGCTGGAGTTCTTAAAAAGTATCATTTTCAAGGGTGAATTCTCTGTTTGTGTCTAAACGAAGGGTGCAGATGATTGTTAATGTCTCTGTTTTTTAAAAATAACCGGGTACGTATAAAAAGAGTTTTAGACTAGTCTTGAGAGTGGGGAAATAATTCAGCCTGGTTTATATATCAGCATTCACTGTGAGCCTTAGTGGTCTACACCGTCATAAGTGCTACATGCTTGTGTGTAACAGTATTCGCATCACCCTGCAATACTTCACATAAATGCTGCTTGGCAGTGCATTTTCTATGGTTGTCATAAAACCAGTTTCCAGTTCTGATGGACTCTCAGCCAAGTTGTGCACAGGAAACAGGGCTTGTTACATTGGTGTTAGTGCAGATTAATGGTGAGCACCTGATAATGCTGTAATTATAGCACTGATGCAAAATAGACGTTGGAGATGGAATGTACTGTCAATGAATTGAGCAGTGATACTTCCAGGGCGTGCAATCTGAATTGTTTGGACATGCAGTTACATTTTTGAGGAGATGCACATCAGACATTGGCTACTGTGGTCTACACACACCTATGATGTATGCATCTGCATAGATTCCGAGTCATAAATTGGGTGTGAGAGCAGCCTGAGGAGCTACTGGACCCCAACCATCTCTGATAGGGAGAAGCAGTGTTAAAAGGAAAAGATGTTCTACTAGTCCCGAATGGGTGGAGTGGTAAAGGGGGGTATTACAGTATGGTACTGACTATCAAAGTTCAGTTTTTATGTTGTTTTTACTTTCATTCTTAATTTTACATGTCAGTATTTTGAGCTGGTAGCTGAGGAATGAGCAGAATAAATAAAAGTACTTTTTAAGTGGGGATGATCTTCATTCAGACAATCCATCACACCGTTTAAAGGTGTGCGTTTGAAATATATAATGAGTGGCTTCAAGGATTTAGTTATTCTTCACAAAGGGAAATGAAAATTGTTCTCCGCGGGGTTTCATTTGTTTTTAGTCACTGTAAATGATGAATGAACTTCCACAGTGGAAACTATGATGAAACTTTTGAGGAACCGCTATCTAACTCTGTTTTTAACACTCTGGCATTCCTCCCACATGTTAGCAGTTACTGGCAACCACAAAAACATGATGACACACTCAGAGCAGTCACGGTGGGTAAGCGTGTGTCTGTCTTACTGTGTGTAAATGTGTGTGTGTGTGTTAGAGCGTGGAAGTGGGCCAGCAGACAGCAGAGCAGCACCTGTTTTATGGTTCATACTGAATCTCTCCGACTGTGGATAATGGTTTATCATGTGATGAATCTGCTTCTGTTTCCGGCATTTACGACTGTGTTTGCATGTTAGTGTAAACATGTCGGGACAAGTTACATCGTATTTACAACTGAACAATTCACAGCATGTCAAAAGATCACTTTCCCATGCACTGCACACACACACAGTGGAACTATTTCACAATAGATAAATGTAATTCTGCTCTGATTGCTCTGCCAGGGGCTTCTATTTCAGCAGTCTGCACAATGTGCACTTTAATTCTGGGCGCAAGCTCTCTGAAGGCCAAGCAGTACAAATATACAGTCCAAAAAATACACCATGAGAGTGAAGTTTTTAAAAAAAAGTTACTTAATGAGTTAATTAATCTGGTGATAACTCTGTTACAGTGTCTCACTCTTTGTATCGTTTTGTTTGTATTTTGTCATAAAAAGCTTGATTAGTGCTCTGATGTAGAATATTCTTTAATTTGTTTTATTTGGATAAAAATTTGAGTCTGTTTATTGACTTTAAATGGTCTTTGTATGAGGTGCCATATTGATGGCATTTATTCAGAGGAGAATACATTCGTAAAAACATAAATATAACGTTATATATCACGCATATTGTATCATATCAATACAATATATCGTATTGTATTGTATTGTATCTTTTCTTGCCTTATCCTATTTTATCTTATCGTATCGCCTCCCATTGTATTGCATCTTTTCTTATTGTATCGCATTGTAACATACGGTACTGTTAAGCTTATCAGTGGTATTGTATTGTATCAAATCCTGTTATATAAGTTGTATCCTTTTATATCATATTGAACTTATATATATATTGAACTGTATCATATAGCATCCTAATGTATTATATCAAATCCTTCTGTATCCTTTTGTGTTGTAGAATATCATCTAGCATTGCATCATAGTGTATTATATTGTATCCTATCATATCACATTTTTATTGTATTGTATTGTGTAGTAGGGGTGTAAAGTAGGGGTATTAATCTTCAACATTGATTTATATTCCTATTATCCAACTACATTAATCTGTGCTTGGCAAGTTGGCCTCTCGGACAACATATATCGATCGAATATCATTTTAAAATGTAATATATCGATTGTATTGATACTAACCCAATAGATTTAACCACAGCAGACTGTACATGGATGTGGGTTTTTCTCACTTTTAAGTATAAGGAAGTTGAGCATTACTCGATTCAGTCTATCTATCTGTAACCCCATCGCCACGCGCTAGCAGACAACAAAACATAGCATGGTGGATGGCGGAGAAATTATTAGTGAGAAATTATCAAGTGATCATTGTGGTCCAGTGTATGTTGTTTTTGTATTATTTCTATGCTGAAAATGTAGTTAGTTTAGTTAAAATACAGGATATGAGACAGAAACAAATTGGAGTAATCAATGATGATTACATAAATCTTTCAGGGGGCTTAATATTATTAATAATATTTATTAATCTATTGATATTATTAATATTGATAATTTTATCATATATATCTTTTTTTTTTTTTACTTGCAGCACATTGGGTTTATTGGTATTATTACATAAATCTAATTCTTCATTGTTTCATTTACATTCAACTGACAAATAAACAGCACATAAAGTTTTTTGGCCTGTTTATGTTAAATATAAGTCATTCAAATGGATGGAAATTTTGTATGCAATAAGGCCTAAATATTTCTGTGAGTGTACAAAGAGACTGTGGCCTTCATTGCATGTGTCACTTGTCAGACACTGTCTCAGCGTCACAGTCATCCCCTCTTCACCATTTTCCATCTCTCTAAGTTATCTTTTGACAAAAAGGAAAAAAGTGCCCTTAAATGAACGTTGGTGGAAAAAAGTGTCACTTCCACCTTTCACACAATTACATCAGACTATGAGGACTCTTACATCCTAGTTTTCAGGACTTGTGACTCTAAGTCGACTCAAGCACAGGACAGACTCAAACTCAGGCATTAACTGCATCAAGACTCAGATTATGAGGGATCAGATCTGGCTATGGATCAAAACTTTCTTTTATTCTGAATTTATTCTTCTAAATAAAGTATTTTCCTAATCAGTATCTTTATTCAGTATCAGTCCCTGTCAGGGTGTCTACAGAGGCTCTTTCAATTGTGTTTTCTTTTTCAAGACTTAAAAGCAAATACAAGCAGGACATGATTGCTTTGTAAAAGAATCACCCAGAAGAGGATATCTTACAGGTGTTTTTGAATTACTTAGAGCCTAGTGGAGTCTATTGAAAAAGGCTCTATACATTATACATTATACATTTCTCTGTGGAGATTCAACTTTGCTGATGATTCAGAACTCCAGACATGGATCAGGGTCAGTCAGAACGCAGTGTTACAAAATGAGAAGGTCACACAAAGTCACTTTAAGTTCAGACAGTTTGGAGTCAAGTCAAGTTTGCCTCATGATAAAATCCTCAGGAAATGGAGATTGGACTCAGATTCTTCTTCATTGACTCAGACTTGACTCCGACTGTAACACTGAGGACTCATAACTCAGATTCCAAATGGCTCGACTCCACAGTCAACAGGTTGTGGCCAACTTTTTGAATGACTGTTGCAGCTGAAATT